TTGCAGAATTTGATTGATGAACTTGCATTTAATAATCCTATATCTGCATCTGAATACATTGAAATCGAAAAAACTAACGAATATAATATACATACACGAATAAATGAAACCAGCTTGTAGATACTAAAGCTTCTACAAATTCATCACTCACCTTGTTACATTTTCTTGCAAATACTATTGAGAGCAAATTACCACATATAAATGAATTTATTGAAGAATTAAAAGATTCTGGATTGGCTTGCAGAGGTTTATGTCATTTTATTTCATCAATTTATATTATAAATATTCACTTTATTTTTAATTGTATTGTTTCTATTCAAATTAGTTTCACAGCAGGAGATGACTGGTGAATATAGGTTAATAGGAACAAAGTTAAATGATCTTGAAGTAGAGCTTGATAAGAATTTTACAGATGTAGAATTAGAAGAGAATGATAGATTCCCAGAAATAATGAGAGATTTTGTTAAAAGGACTAAAAGTCAATTTGAAGAGCTTCAACTTAAATATACTTCAATGGAAGTTGCATATAAAGATGTTGTATCATACTTTGGAGAAGATCCAAAAAGTACTAAGCCAGATGAATTTTTTGGAATTTTCAAAACATTTATATCATCTTATGAAGTTTGTAGCTATTAATTGCATTGATCTGTTTTTTTTTTAAAGAAAATAATAATAATTGATTTGTTTTATGTTATATAATAGCGAGCAAGACATGACAATAAAGTACAGAAAGAACGCGAATTGGTCCTTCAAAAACGAATAGAGGTTTGTTCAATAAGCATTATTATTTATGAATATTTGAAGTGGAATATTTATTAAAACTTGTTAAAAAATAGGAGATTGAAAGTCGAAAAAAGAAACAAAAGGACAAAACAAGTATCAGTGTCAAAGAAGGCATTGCACAAGATTCTTCAGAAGAAAAATATCTTATGGACAATTTATTAGAGACATTAAGGGATGGGAGGGATTTGGATACAAGAACGAGGAGAAAACGTGGAGCAGGAAAAGAAAAAAGGATAGAAAGAAGTATGTCAATTGCAGTCAAAGCAGAATCTATTTTGAACAGGCTTAAAGAAGATACTCCGCCAGTACCAGATTTGCCTATAAAAGAAATTTTAGCTGAATAAACAATCTGGTTTTTTTTTAATCCAAAAAAAATCAGGGGTATATTTTGATTAATTTATTTTTTGGGGTTTGTTTTTTTGTACAATAAATTATTTATTTGTATTATTTATAATTTACATTTATAATTACATTTATAATAATAATAGTAGAATTTTTTATTTATTTACATATATAATCTTCATTTTGTACTACGCGTATATGCTACAAACCGTTATACACTTACTTAATCATCACATGCATACTTTAATCACGTATTACAAGATAGTTTTAAAATAAAAAAATTTTGCAACCTGATCAACAGAGCATAATGTACATCCTATATATTTATCACAGCATAGTGGACATTCGTTTTATCACATGTGACAAAATCGATCGTTGATCTTTTTATGTTGTGAAACATGTGACTTCAATTGAATTTAGAATAGAAAAAAGTCGCGTGACTGCGCACAAAAATTTGTTTAACCTGAGATGTATTTTTTTAACATGTATATTTTGCTTTCT